CAATTAAATTACAGTGTACATGTGTATTTTTATTTAAATACGTAGAAAATGATTAAATATTAAAAGCAAAAAAGCGCTGAATTTAAAACCTCATGTATTGAGCTCCGAAAGTTTTGCTCCGATTGGCCAAACATTGGCCAAAGTTGATACTGAAGATAGACACAATGAACGAAATTATGAACGAACGCAATTCCAAACTGCAGTAAATCAATAGTCAGAACTCCCTACTTGTAAAACTGTTTTCTTTCGTTTTTACAAGGAATGAAATACTTCTGTACTGATGTAGTCGAATGACAAAGTACTGGACAAAAACGTCTGTTTACTTGTGGTAGAAAGGGGATTTAGAGATCAAATATGTAATGGGTTCAGTTCAATGGAAATTATAAATTTACAACGAGTACGAAAAAGTGGATAAATCCTGTTGTTAAATGTAGAAAAAAATCTCCTACACGTGGTGTAGTCAGAATTCATGTTTTATGGGTTCTTGGCACCAAAAAATCTATTGACGGCAAAACGTTTGTCCGTCTGTCTGTGTTCAACAATAGCACCTGAACTGTTCAGCCGATTTTCTTCAAAATTGACATCATCCAATCGATCTAAATAAACTGGAGTCTTCGGGAACTTCAAACGGATATTTTGATTTTTGAAGGTACATTACATGAAGATTCAAAATTTTCTCAAAAACGGCGCCAATTTGTTTGATAACACACTGTCTTCGGATAGCAGAAAGGACGCTTAAGAGAATGGTGCAGGTCGCATGTTCGTTGAAACTCCAGATTTTTTTTAAAATTGCACAAGTGCAATTTTATAATTTCCTACAATTATAATATTGAAGATAGACATTTTTTCTTCATTAAAAGCTGTTTCTTAAAGATAGATCTTTAAATAAGTTCAAGTTCTATTTTTCGAAAATAAGCAATTAAAAATGATATTTTTCTTCTCAAAAACCGCATCAAATTCTTTCTTTAATTTTTTTTCCATGGATAGAAGAAGGTATGTTTTTAAGAATGGCGCGGGTCTCAATTTCGCTGAACTCTTTGAATATTCGAAAATTGCAAATGTAGAAGTAATGCTTGATTGTGTGCCCTGTTGTAGCACCACTAGTTTATCAAAGAAGCAGTTTTGGGAGGAAGTTCTAAAACTGACTACTTACATTTCTAATAGATACGTGCTTGTTGCCAGCAATCCTCCTTACTAAAATGTATTAATGGTTGCCTACCCTTTTGGCGTCAGGCGCGGAAAACAGACAATGATGCAGAATATTATGATGAAATTCATTTTGTTTTTCGTTTGCATCACTAACTGGTGCCATTTATGGAGCAGCGCGCATATATTTTTACTCTCTCGCTGCCGCTCATCTACTAGAGAGAAAGTTATGTAATGCTGGGCGAAAAAACTGCGATTTTTCGGCAAAAAACTCTTACTTCAGAGCCCTGGTAACGAAAGAATGGATAAATCCAATTGGTAAATTTAGAGCAAAAAAGTCCTCTAACATGTGGTATAGCCACAATCCATGTTTTGTGGGTCCTTAATACCAAAAAATCAATGACGGCAATACGCGTTTGTCAGAAAGATTTTAAGTTTAAAAGAGGTAAACATGATGGTTTTGTTACGGCGGCCATCATTGAGTTGCGTAGCAACGACTGTTTCCTATTAGTTGGCGTAATTTTTACTCTGTAGTGTAGGTTGAGCAAAATGAAACAACTATTATACAAAATTATGGCTTCAAGTTAGTAAATAAACACTTTTGAGCTACATTTTTGTTTTGTTCTAATTGTGGTGGAAATAACATTTTGTTTCCACCATGGTTCTAATAAAGCTCAGATGTTGCTATGACAATTTCATCAACCTGGAGATGAAAAACATTTTAGTATTGATTACACAAGAGAAAAGAAGGGAGTCATCTCTAATAAAGTAAATACTCTTTCAGCTCTTGTTGAATTAATGAATATCATTTTAATCTTTATTTCTTTAAATGACAATTTAGCTATGAGGGTACATTTTTTGAAATGCTTCACAGACAATTTAGCCAAATTTATTTAAAAATGTAAATCACAACTTAACTGAAAGGATTTGTTGGTAGTTCATAAAGTTGTGACTACTTTTTATTGTGTTGACTATAAAAAAATACCCTTAACTGTGTGAAATACTTTTTGTAAATTTAATTTTTTTGTGTTTTGCAAAACAAGTATAAACTTGTAAATTTTTTTTGTAAATGAAAAATGATAATGTTCATTCATATATCTGTTAACTCTGCTTGCATGTATGTGTTAGCTGATGTTCATAAGACTAGTGGATTGTTTTTGATTTATTTTAATATTGTTTTGATATATAAGCCTACTACATAATAATTGCATTAAATTGCCATTTAAATATTAGATCTACTTAATTTCAGAACAAACAAACAGTTCTTGGAGAACAAAGGCAGCTCAAAATTTTTAACCAAGGTTTCTTTGAATATGTCACATGCAAATAAAGAAAAAGAAGACTTTTTCGAAGAAGGAAAAAAATATAAAAAGAAGCAGAAAAGGTTGAGCATTAAAAATACAAATGTGACAACTCAACTGAATGAACTGGAAACAGTTTTCATAATATCAGTTTTGGAATCCCTCATTGAAATGTTAAAGGTTTTGAGTCAATCAAATGACAAACCTTTAGTTTATAAGGAAACAACATATATCACTTTGGAAGATAGGTAAAATTAATTTATAACTGAATATATTGTCAAAATTTTATTCCTTGCATGGTTGACTTTTGGTATAAAATATTCTTTAAAAAGCAATCATTGTATGAACATGGGATGCATTCATGCATAAAGTCTTGCAAAATTTTTAACAATCCTTTATATTTGTTTATAAATGTATTATTATTATTATTATTATTATTATTATTATTATTATTATTATTATTATTATTATTCACGGTCACACCACCTTCTCAGTTACAAAATTAGTGCTGTATAAAAGAATAGAGTTACTGATCATTGATTGTGCTTCTTATGAGCACATGTGGTTTGACTAGTGTCGTCCAATTAATTTCCACTAGCCTGCCTCAAAGTCTTGTCCTATATATTATTTATATTTTAATCGTAATATCTGTTTCTCCAGTCAATTTTTTAGGTAGTATGAAAATTGGTTATTATTAGCTAATATGTTTTGAAAGTCTATTCATATGATATTTATTATATAGTTAGTTATTTTTTATTATATATTGATGTTATATTTAATATATAAAGATAATTTTTATCGAATTTGTAATTTGATTTAGTATGGTATATATTATATTGTTAGGAATTATTTATTATTATTATCATTTTATTATTATTGATTATTATTATTTTATCTCTCAATTAAATTACTAGGGTTAAGTTTGATTATATATATATATTTATATATTGCCTTTATTATATACATATTATTAAAGTCCAATGTTCATGTATTATTTTTGAATATTTTATAGATATTATTTATTTAATTAGTGTGAATATTCTTATTATTGATTTTTGAAATAAATTTAATTATCTATCTATTATTTTATTATATTATTATTTTATTATTATTATATTAATTGCAATATTTTAAATTTTGATTTATTACTATTATTTTTTTTTATTAATGTGAAGATTAATTATTATTATATACTTATATATTATTATTATTATATATTATGTTTATCTTAATTTTCATTATATATGTTGCTTTATTTATTTATCTTCTCTTATTTATAAATGTATTTGGTTATTTCTGTTATGCTAGTCATATGTATATAAAGGT